CAGCCTCCTGCCTCTCCTCGCACCGCAGACCCTGCTGCGCCCCAGAAGGAGGCGGCAGGTTCCCAGGCAGTGGGCGTGTGGCGCTAGTGCTCAGGGCAGGGGCAGCGTGTGGAGTCCTCTGCTCTCTCCCCCCCATCTAGGAGCCAGGCCTGCTGCCGGGGCGCAGCGCAGTCTGCGGAGCAGGACAGGCAGGAAGCTGTCTTAGCCCCCCCGTTGCTCCCCTGATCCCCCTACAGCCACGAGTCCCAGCGCCCGACATCCCCCCCCACCAGCGCTGGGTCACGACCCATCGTGTGAAACCCACTGGCCTAGGGTAGACCCATGCACTCCTAAGGTGAGGCGAACCGGGCTGTAAACCGGACAGGGCTAAAGCCCTGGCCTGGCATTGACAGCCTTGCTCTGCCACAGCCGGCCTGTGTGCCCTGGAGCCAGCCGCTGACTCTGCCTCGGTTTCCCCAGCTGTGAAATGGGGATTGCCAAGAGGTGCATGGGGAGCCCCTGGCTAGGTGGTTTAGGGGAAACTCCGTCCGTGCCCAGATGGGACCCGTGGAGAAAAGCTTCTGCACCGCGGTACAGCAAGCATGCAGCAGTCATGCCCAGGGAGGGGAGGTGGGTGTGCAATGCACGAGGATAACACGCGTGTCACACGGCACATGCAGCCTTGAATCAGACACGCTGGCTCGTGCCAGGGGCAGGCAGGTCCCCTCAGGCCCAGAAAGGGGGAGCACTGAAAATCCCTCTTAACCCTTTGCTGCCTCCTCTCTCTGCAGTGCAGCGCCGGACCGACGCCCCCGTGGGCAGCTCCCGCTACGATCTCACGCTGTCCCGCCCCGAGGCCTTCCCCCAGGAGCTCAGCGTGAGGAAGGCTGAGCTGAGACTTTTCAAGCCGTCTCTCCGCACTCTGGATTTGTCCAGGCTCAATGCCTCCTGGCCGTCTCGGGAGGAGCCCTACAGGCTGCCAGAGCCCAGGCAGCGCCGCGGGGACCCCCCCCCGTGGGCAGCTCCCGCTACGATCTCACGCTGTCCCGCCCCGAGGCCTTCCCCCAGGAGCTCAGCGTGAGGAAGGCTGAGCTGAGACTTTTCAAGCCGTCTCTCCGCACTCTGGATTTGTCCAGGCTCAATGCCTCCTGGCCGTCTCGGGAGGAGCCCTACAGGCTGCCAGAGCCCAGGCAGCGCCGCGGGGACCCCCCCGGAGCCTCGAGCTGGGGCCTGCGGTCCGGGAGTGGGCAGCTAGCGCCGCGCCGCAGCTGCAGCTGCAGCTGGTGTTCCCTGCAGACCTTTCTGCCTTCCTGGCCACCAACCAGAGCAGCCAGGGAGCTGAGACGCTCCAGCTGGAGGTGGAAGCGCAGGTGCCGGTGGGCGAGCGGCGGAGGAAGTCCCGGGCGCTGGAGGAGGAATGCAGGAAGAACGACGGGAAATGTTGCCTCAAGTCCCTCAAAGTGTCTTTCCAAGAATCGCGCCCAACAGCTACTACATGAAGTTCTGCGCCGGCTCCTGCCCCCACAACCACAAGCCGGCCAGCATGCATGCCCAGATCAAAGCCCGGCTGCACACCCTGTCCAAGGAGATGCCGTCCCCCTGCTGCGTGCCCGCCGGCTACGACCCCATGGTGCTCATGCACTACAGCAGCGACGGGAGGATCGTCTCCACGCTCTTCGAGGACATGATCGTCACCAGGTGCCACTGCGCCTGAGGGCACGCACCTCCCGTGGCGGCGGGGGGGCGC